GGAGATTTGGTCGGAAAAGGGGGTAGAAAACTGGACGCTAAAATGATGCTAGAAGTGCAAGAGCCCCTCCACATGCTCCTCTGCGGCTTAGGTTTGTCACTTAACGTGATACCCTCCGTGCTTCTGCTTCCATGGATATGAGAACCCAGATGAACTGGTATAGGGAAAGAGAAGCAAGGAGTAAAAGGACTGCAGGCTTAAATGTGAAGAGAGGCCCGGGATTCATCAGTAGAAACCTACTGTTTCCAGATAAGTAATGACAACATCAGAGATTGTCAATAGATATTTATTGAGCACTTGTTATATGCCAAGCACTGCAATAAGTGCTCTATAGGTATTACCTTGTCTACATCTCAGGAAACTTATTATAATTCCCATTTAACAGGTTAGGTAACAAAGGCACAAAATGATTAATAACACGATGAAATCACACCTGTGATTTTTCTTTTGTTCATTTTACAAGACACCAAAGAGAGAAAGATGCAAAAAGAAAGAGGCACCTAGCACTGTGCCTGGTATACATTTGGTGTTTAATGCATGCTTATTGACTGTGCTAAGTCTGAATTTTTGAACTATTTAGCAATTCTGGGCAGCCTTTTCCATGAAGTGTACTAGGTTATAAAATATGCGAACTGTCTATAAAGGGATCAAGAGGCTTCTTTATACAGTCGAGGTAGACTTTAAACTGAATTTTAAACTAAGTTGTTTTTTTTTTTTTCCCATCAAGTTCCTCCCATTGTTTAATCTTGTAATATTATGACAGTCTTACCTTTGATCTTACTAAAGGGCTGTATTTTATAAATTCTTATGACTCACCCCATAAAATCTGTCATGAACTGAATCTTTAAAAAATGAGAAAAATATCCCTGTCTTTTATTTATTTTTTCCTATTTATTTTTATTAGTTGGAGGCTAATTACTTTACAATATTGTAGTGGTTTTTTGCCATACATTGACATGAATCAGCCGTGGATTTACATGTGTTCCCCATCCTGATCCCCCCTCCTGCCTCCCTCCCCATCCCGTCCCTCTGGGTCTTCCCAGTGCACCAGCCTGGAGCACTTGTCTCATGCATCCAACCTGGGCTGGTGATCTATTTCACCCTTGATAGTATACTTTTTTCAATGCTATTCTCTCAGAACATCCCATCCTCACCTTCTCCCACAGAGTCTAAAAGTCTGTTCTATACATCTGTGTCTCTTTTTCTGTTTTGCATATAGGGTTATCATTACCATCTTTTTAAATTCCATATATATGCGTTAGTATACTGTATTGGTCTTTATCTTTCTGGCTTACTTCACTCTGTATAAGGGGCTCCAGTTTCATCCATCTCATTAGAACTGATTCAAATGAATTCTTTTTAATGGCTGAGTAATAGTCCATGGTGTATATGTATCACAGCTTCCTTATCCATTCCTCTGCTGATGGGCATCTAGGTTGCTTCCATGTCCTGGCTATTATAAACAGTGCTGCGATGAACATTGGGGTACACGTGTCTCTTTCACATAACTCCCATAACTCTAAAAGAGACAGGAATACACACTGAGGACATCCCTGTCTCTTTTAGAGTATGGGAGTTAAATAACATCCAAATGTTTTTTCCACATTTATGCGGTAAGAAAGGGGCCTTCTCTACCACCTTCTGAGTAGGAAAATTTATCAAGTTTCATTTAATGGGACATGATGTTATTATCATGATGTGATGATGATGAACATATCTTCAGCACTTATTAATTACCAAAGACTGATTTATGTTTCATTTTTAATCTTCACAACCAGAGCTGTGATTTGAGTATTATATTTGGCCAGTAAAGAAACAGGCTCGGTGTATTTATTAATTATTCTAGAAACAACAATGTATAAATAATAGAGATATACTTTATTTCAGTGTCAAGGTTGTATGGTACAGTTTTAAATAAAGGATTACACAAACAGCGTATTTTTTTAAACATCAGCTTCCAAAACTCTGTCATTGTTCCCAGTGCTTCTTCTAGGCCAGAGTTCTAGGCATTTACTGGACAGCAGTCAAATAGCCATGGAGTGTGTTTCCAACCTCATTTTCTGTGGCCTCTGGGAAATTGGCAGATGCATGACTGTGTGAAATATCAGCAGTGAGATAATAAAATTATTAGAACCCAGCAATGCATGCAAAGTGTATTTATGAATATGATGCAGATAGTGATAATTAATCCTCTGGACATCACTTAGATCTTTTAACAGAGTGTTCATGATATCTGGAGCAAAACACTTGTCTATTATTTGACAGTTAAACGTGGAACCTCATTGGTCTAATCAACAATCATTGTTCCCCAGGATAATGATTTTTAGTCTTTTATTCAGTAATACAACAGATTCAGATGTTTTGCAATGAACACTTACTTCCTCATGCTCAGGATTATTTTGCAAGCACTGTTAATTCAGCTATGTCACTAGGTTCTTAAATCCTTTCTGAATTTCTCTAATCATCCTGGGGGTTAGGCAAGGGATTGTTTTATAAATTCCTGGTGTATAGATGCAAGTCAGTATCTTTGTTTTCTTTATATCTAAGTCTTTATTATACCTGGAGTTATGATCTCTTGGTACATGGTTTTATCAAGGAATTTAGCAACACACAGTTTTCAATAAAATTAGTAGTAGTAGTGTTAGTAGCTCAGTCATGTCTGACCCTTTGTGACCCCATGGAATGTAGCCCGCCGGGCTCCTCTGTCCATGGGATTCTCCAGGCAAGAATACTGGAGTAGATTGCCATTCCCTTCTCCAGAGGATCTTCCCGACCCAGGGACTGAACCTGGGTCTCCTGGATCGCAAGCAGATTCTTTACTGTCTGAGTTGCAGAGAAGAAGATCCTGTCAGTAAAATTAAGCACTTTTTAATATTATTTCAGAATATTTAATGATGCTTATGATTAGTGTAGAGGATTTACAGGAATGTCTTTTTTCTTAATATTGCATCTGGTATAAGGAGTCGTAGAGAGTCGGACATGACTGAGCGACTGAACTGAACTGATAAGGAGTATGCATACCATTTCTAATGAGAAGATACAGCTAAAAGGAGCAAGGGGTTATCCATATCCCTGTATGTCTGTCTGTCCGCTATCCATCCATTTACCCACCCCTCTTTGTTGTTGTTGTTCAGTTGCTAGGTTGTGTCTGATTCTTTGTGACCCCATCGACTGCAGCACATCAGGCTTCCCTGTCTTTCACTATTTCCCGGAGTTAGATATAGATACAAATAAGTAGATATGCATAAATAGATAAGCATAAAATACATGTATATATGTTTGCAATGAAATCCATTAAAATGTTAACAGTACAAACCTACAGATGCAAAATTATGGGAAATTTTATTTTTTTTCTTAGAATAGCATAGTTTTATTCTTGATAAAATAAATGTTCATAAGAACACATAAAAAAGGAAAATATGCTTAGCTTCAAATAGCCATGGAGCATGTTTCATATTTAGTGTTAATGGGTACCAATAAATAGATTTCATGTATACTTTTTAGGAGGTCCCCTCAACCATGAAAGGTTTCTTCAGTTCTTCCTCCTAGATGGTATTGCACATGACCTTGGTCTTAGTTTGGGCTTCTGTAGATATGGAGTATCCTAGACTGGATGTATTAAACAACAGAAATCTGTTTCTCACAGTTTCTGGAGGCTGGGAAGTCCAAGATCAAGGCACCAGCAGATCCGCTGTATGGTGAGGGCACATTTTCTGGCATGGTGGTCTTCTTGACTCCTCCTTGGCAGAGAGCAGAAAGAGGCAACCTATGTCCCCTTCTTCTTTTCTTTTTTAAATAAGATCATTAATCCCACAGGAGAGCCCTATTCTAATGAATTATTCTAACCCTAATTACCTCCTAAAGGCCTTATTTCCAAATGCTATCACACTGTAGGAGTTAGGGTTTTACCATAAAAATTTAGGGGGGCTCTTTGAGGTGGCACTAGTGGTGAAGAACCTGCCTACCAAAGCAACAGACGTAAGAGATGTGGGCTTGATCCCTGGGTCAGGAAGATCCTGTGGAGAAGGGCATGGCAACCCACTCCAGTATTCTTGCCTGGAGTATTCCATGGACAGAGGAGCCTAGCGGCTATAGTCTATAGGGTCGCAAAGAGTCAGACACGACTGAAGTGACTTAGCATACACGTGCAATCCTTATTTGAACCTCCATTTCATCCTGTTTTAGTGTATTCTACTGCTTATTTGTGGACCAGTTTTTCTAATGATGCCTTGTGTTTCTTAGGATATTAGTAAATGTGGTAAAAAAGCAATTCCTGTATGATCTTGATAGTGTTCCCAAGAAACACTTGGCTACAGACATAGAGCATCTTAATGTCTGCTTTATCTGAAAGTTTTCTCAACAGAACTACTAACCTGCCCATTAAAGTTTTAAATCCGCTAAAATACCTAGACCAATTTAAAAAAATTATTTGCCAGAGAATCAGAAAACATCTGATTTCTGTGGACAGAGATGAATAGGAAACCTAAATATAAACCTTACTTAAAACGATAACAAACCAACAGCAACAGCAACAAAAACACACACCTATTGTGCAGTCAAATCTAAGTTTAACACAAATACACACTTCCTTGGAACCACCGTAAGTAATTTGCTGTCTAGCATCATCCTCCTTTGGATTTGAGTTCATTGTTTTATATGGTATTTTGTGGCAACTGCTAATTATCATAAGCTGTCCAATAAAAGTGATGGATTGTCCAATTAACTCTTCATCAGCATCCATTTTTGAAGATGTTACCTATTGAAACTGATGGCAGTTTATGACCTCCATGTTGCATATGTAGCTAATGACTCCTTGGGCAATAATTATTAAGTTTCTTGTGCCTCATTTGGTCATTTTGTTTTACAAATTAGGATGCCATTGAGTTTACCAATTCATTTGGCTTCACAACTGTGGCTCTCTAAGGATTACTAAAGGTCTGCTGTGGAATGTATAGATCATATAAACATTGAAGTAGATTACAGATGTGTCTGTTTTGTAGGTTTTCCATCGACCGGCACACTGACCTGGAGAGACAATTCAACATTAATGCTGATGACGGGAAGATAACGCTTGCAACACCGCTGGACAGAGAATTAAGCGTGTGGCACAACATAACAATCATTGCTACCGAAATCAGTAAGTGCCCGGGTTTGTTCATTTCTTCCTTGTGTGCCTGACTTCAGTTTATGCCTGGGGCTCATACGAGAGTGGTCCTGTTTCTTTTAGATATTTTGGCATTAGAACTTTTGTTTCCAAGGAGACTTGGAATGCTTCATCTCAACATGAAATAACTTATGCTGTGGTAAATTACCAAAAGGTTGCAATATATGCGGGAAGGAAACATTTTTACATCCAAGTATTCTTGAATCTTATACCCATTATTCAGCCATTAAAAACAATGTTTTGTGTATTAAAATATGGGAAAGATTTAGCATAAAAGGGTAGGTAAAAGTAGAATTCAAGAACTATAGAGCATACTTTAAATGGACACTAACATTTATATTATATACAATATAGAAACTGTTGCTCACATATTTAGGCTATGCATATACACATACACATATAAATGCAGAAATTATAGAAAGAAAATTTACAGTATCAATACATATCATTTTGGGGAGATGAGATTATAGTTTCTTTGTTTTGTTTTATAGAATTAATGTGTCTTACACAGTAATCACAGACTATTTAAAATTACATCTTCAATATAAAATTTTTCCTAAGTTACATGTGAAAATGTAAGCTTTATTTTTTTTCAGAGGAGGTTCCAGGGTTGTTAAAATAACATATGTTAGTCTTTCTGCCAATTTTTAATGAGCGCAGCTTCTCAGATCGCACTTACTGACACTTCAGTGGAGTCTCTAAACAATAGCTCTGTGGTGAAATTTAGTGCTCTCTTGTCTATAAGAACTTGCACTTTGCCTCACCAGTTTTGTTTTTGTTTTTTAATTGTATGGAACTTGCAAAGGGGACATGATGTTCATTTTATTTCCAAACAAAAGACATTCTGCATGTTATCTGAATATCCTCTTTCCATAAAGGAGATGGAAGGACTTCACAGTTTATACAAGTTCAAGGGAGATGACAGTACATTCTTGAGGGAGCTGGGATAGAAGGAATCTGAATAAGGAAACAAAAGTTCACAGTAAAAAAGATTCATGGGTACACATATGTAAAGGACGTGAGCCCTAAGCTCTGCTCTTTGCACTCTCTAAATCTGCTCTGGTTTCACAGCCAGTGTCTCTGAGATTCATGATAAACTTGCCTGTAAGAAGAGTAATCTAGACCTTCAGGAAAGGCATGGATTTTCCTTGCTCTGAGATGTGGGAGTGATGTCTTCCATGGAGTCTTATTCAAAAAATAAAACACAACCACTGTGTGAAAAAGTGACCATTCAAGAGTGAAGAATGCTTCTTTTGGCACCCTCAAAGCAGGCAAAGAAACAGCTTAATAGGGAATGTAAAAGAAGCACTTTGGAAACTTGGGTGCTTTTCCTTATTAGGAGTACCATTTTCTTCTCTAGTACGTTGCTCTGCTAGTAGTTTAATCCCTTGTAACATTAAGGGATAAAGAAAATTGAGCATCTCATTTGGTAGCTTTGATTTCTTAGCAATGTTGACCTCATCTAGATGTGAAATATTTATAATTTACAGTGTTGAAGCCGTATGTCACCTTAAGCCTCTGAGAAAAGCTGTATCTATTTAGATTGGTTTGAGGCTATATAAAAATGCTCTAAAGCAGTGGTCTCCAACCTTTTTGGCACCAGGGGCTGGTTTCATGGAAGGCATTTTCCATGGATCGGAGGTAAAGGGGAATGGTTTGGGACAATTCAAGCTCATTACATTTATTGTGCCCTTTATTTCTATTATGTTAGCTACGTACATAAGCTACTATGTACATCACTTATTATGTCAGCTCCACCTTAGATCATGAGGCATTAGATCTCGGATCCCCAGCCTAAATGACCATAGTTATTGTTAAAGTATGAAGGCAATAATTACCATTAAAATAATTTCTCATATATTGAACATAATAACCTACTTGAATATGCCTAAATCTATGACACTTCTTTTTTATGAGTTGGCTGCCTTCATTAAGAAGGCCCTGTTCATAAGACTTCATGTAGTCTATTCTGTAGAGTAAAAGGAAATGAATATACAGAATAGGTGGTTAGGAAACATTTCAGGGGCAATCCAGAAACAAAAAACTCTTTTGCAAGGAATCACAGACAAGTAAGGAAGACAGATACAAAAGCAGATGCTCCAGGGTAATGAGCTGTTAACTCTAGGGTGACAAGGGTACCAAGCCCAACAGGGAAGACATTCATTTGTTCGTTCACTCAGTAATTATTTATTGAGTCCTTGGTTCTTGCCAAGCACTGTTTTAGTGACTGGGGATATAGCGGTGATCAAAACAGGCAAAAAACATCTGGTCCTCTTGGAGTTTTCTTTCTAGGGGCACCTGTGTATGAAAGGGTGAGTTGAAATCTGCTGATATATCCATAAGGAATGACACAGAGGTGAGGAAGAAGGTGATGAATACTGGGGATAAAAGCAGTTGATGGTGTGACCACAAACCTGATTCAGTGAACATCTATTGATTAAAAATTACTGGATTATAGACCAGATAATTTTTCCTTTATGGATTGAGAGAAACCACTCAAATATATCCCAGATTTAAGTTTACAGTTAGCTCCATAAAGAGACCAAACAGGACATGGTTCTGTTCATATGGCAACCCAAAGCTTTTCTTTGAACCTTATAGAATTAAAAGTATGCAACCCAAACTTACCTTATTCTGTTGGCATCAGTAGGAGTTATCTCATTTTTTATTGCAACTTTCTTTTGATTTTTTTTTTTTTTGCTCAGAGATTGAAAACTAAACATTTGTTTTTTAATTTTTGCATGTAACTGTCTCAACTAGTGTGTGCTTAGTCGCTCAGTCGTGTCCAACTCTTGTGACCCCATGGATTGTAGTCCGCCAGGCTCCTCTGTCCATGGGATTCTTCAGGCAAGAATACTGGGTTGCCATTTCCTTCTCCAGGGGATCTTTCCGACCCAGGGATTGAACCCATGTCTCCTTCATTGCAGTCAGACTCTTTACTGACTGAGCTAGGAGGGAAACCAACAAGATTGGAAGTATAAAAGAGAACTGTAAATTTTAGCTGTAAAATATAAGCTGAGGTGGGCATAAATCTAGAAATTTTAGATGTGAAATTAAGTTACGGAATTCAAAACAATAAGATCACAGAGAACTTAAGAAATATTGGAATTACTATGAAAATGGCTTAGAAACTTATTTTGACTTGGTATTATTATTGAGCGCATCATGTAATGTTTATCTTCTGAAGCCGCAGATCATGTCCTGGAAAAAAATATTAAAGGGAGATTTATTGTATTTGGATGAGATGAATATTTAAAACCACCCAGGACAATAGAACCCCATAGGGGGAGGTTCTAATAAAGATAAAGAAATATTCATTCCAGGGAGAACAATTTAAAATTACTCTCAGAGCACCATCTCTTAGACAAAAGATTTAAGCAAATGAAATTAAGCTAAAAAATGGATTTTAGGAAAGTCCATCTGTTATCTCTTAATGAGAATGGAGATGTCATCCTTTATCCTCTTGTGTCAGATTCACTTAACCAAGGCTGAGATGCTTCACTGTGTGTATTTCCCAAGTATTTCAGTGGTAATAGATCTAACTTGCCATCATGATCAACAGGCACATCTCATTACATGAACTGGCAGCTAGATGCCCAAGTACTAACAGGAGATTAGGCTTGTATAGCACATCTGTGCTAAGTAGCTTCGCTAGCAGCAGCCCCCTCTCTTGAAACTATCCTAAGGCTTGAAACTGCTGTGTATCATGGTGGCAAAGGCTTAAAGTAAATTTAGCTAGTTAAACACTGAGAAAGTATTATGTAATCCCCATGATGCTTTTAATTCTCACATCACTCTTTGAAAATAGGTACCATTATTGTATGCATTTTTCTGTCAAGGAAATTCAGACAGAAGGTTAAATATCTTGCCCAGAGTCTCAAAGAGAGCAAAGGGTTCAAAGGCAAGATTGCTACCAATGCTCTTTAATTGCAGATTAGATGTTCTTAGATGCCTTCTTCAGGAGGAACCCTCTCCTATATCTTCTCTTCTTCCATTCTCCTGCTTAAATTGAGCTTCTGACACTGCTGTATCATTACCTGATGCAAGTCAATGAAATAGTTCTCTGCAAAGCAGAAGGCTGGTACAGGAACAAGAGTGCAGTGGAGAAAAGAATAAGCCTGCATTTACTCAGAACCTCCTATTCTAACGCTTATAACCCTGGGGAGGAAAACTGCCTGGTGACAAAGCCAGGCTTTGGAACTGTTCAGACTGGAATTCTGTTCCCATTTTTGAGATTAGGAAACTGAGGAACAGAGACTAGAAAGCAGAAAACAGTGCCTTTTAGGGGACAGCGTTTTTAAATGAAGTTCACAGAGAACTTGACATATCCAGCTGACCCCAGTCTCCTGGGTTAGTGTTTAAACCAGAGTTATGGCATTTGCTGAACACCTACGGAACCATTAATTTTATTGCAATTAATATATATTATAAACTTTGTTTTAATGTTGTGAAGGAAGGCAGAAAGAGGTGAGATGTTCTTCTGTTTGTGTGTTTTGGTCTTTATTGGTGATCAGTGATATTTGAGCTAAGGTTTGTCAGAAGAGGCATGAGATTCATTTAGGTTGGGCAGGGTGGTATAGATGTACCTGTGAGCCACGTAGTAACAAGCATAGCTGCCAGAGAGAGAAAGGAAGCCAGGACAGGGAGGGGACGGTAAGGGAAATACGGTCTCTGCAGGGGCATTTCAGAGGCATCGAATGCCAATTTTAGAGTGTTCTTCTCAGAGAAAGTGGTGACGTGGGATGGAGAGTGGGGAAGCCCACTAACATCGTGTACCTGAGAGCAGGCAGCTGACATTTACAGAAAGCAGACTGCTGTTGGTTACCTGAAAGTATTGTAAAGCAGGAAGCATATAATTGCCCATTAAATTAATCTCTTTGAGTTAGCGATAATGCATTGCTCTAGCCCACTGCAGTGGGCTGCACACAATATCGCAAATGAAGCTTTTCACTAATGATGGCTAAATCTCCTGG